ACATTAACTTTTGAAAACATTATATTAGTTCTCCATTTATAGAGGATCAATTTACTACCTTAAACAATGACTCATATTTTATGTAAAACTTTTAAATTATTTTTTTTCTTTAATTATAAAATTTAAGTTATTAATATGCTTTCTTAAAATAAATTTTATAAAAAATTATTATGAAAAGTTTTAAAAATTATTATAGTGTTATCTTTGATTTGATTTTTGAGTCATGCAATCCACAATAACATTCGATTTGTATTTGATTTGTTGTAATTACCTTAATCGGATTTGTCATATCTACTAGTAACTATTATTATATTTTTATTAAATAAAATTAGATAAATTATTAAAAAACTAGATAATTTATATTTTGTTAGGTAAATTATCGTATTTTGTAATATTCTCATATGACTCATAGTCAAATAGATCTACATGTCCATCATTTAGTAATTTTTAGATTCTTCCTTAGTGGATGTGACTCAACCTACAATACTATAAGTATATATTATTCTATCTCGTTTTCTCTTGGACATACTTATATTCATAATATGTAAAGCAATGTCGAGCACAAATACATTATTATATAATATTTATCCCGTGATGATCTTATCATCAAATATTATTGAATAATTATTATTTTTAAAAACTAATTTATATCCACTAACTATCAAACATGAAATATAAATAATATTTTTAATAATAATAAAAATAAAATAACATGTATCCAATGCAATAGTAGCTTCACCAAGCAGATGTAGGGTAACCTTGCCAACAGTCACTATAACGATTTTTGCTATATTGTCCTCCATCTTGCCTCTTGTCAATGTCTCAGAACTTAAAGCACTATCGATATCTAATATTTATGTGTCATCGTAAGAGTTTTGATAAATTGAAATTGATCATGAATATACTTAAGACTTCTTTAAGCTTCTGTTTTACCTTATCTACAAGGTACTTTTTATAGTTCAACTTCTAGTGTATGTCTTTACTATAGTAGAAACACTTGCCCTCGCTCCTTGTTGGGTCATTTTTAGTAATTTTTGCTTTGCTCGATTTGTCTTTATTGTCGTAATTCTACTATGATTCATTCAAAATTTTAAGCAGGATTTGATAATATGATACTGTATAGAAATATGCGTATATTCTGCAAATATCAACGACTGAATACACACACTATGTTGACTTGTATTTGCAAATGCAGATTCACATGTTTGATGATCTAAATTTCTAAGTATGACCGACGATTGATGCGAGAATCTACAGAAAAGTGAAGAACAATTATGATGAAGTAATCATAGGTGACATCCTGGCATTCATTTTCAATTGCATTTTGTGATCATATAGCCAATTTAATTGTCCTACAAAATACATAACTCAGACGCAGGTAAGCAAAAGGAATGCTTTTGAGCAATCTCATACAAACTACTAAGCAAACCCTTTATTGCTTGCAATAAAAAATTACAGTACAGCATCCAGAGAATCATACGGTACCAGTAAGATTTCAAACCATACAGGAAGAGGCAAAAGATAATAATAATAATAATACGGAGACTAATTTGGCGGTCGAACATAGCTCAGAGCAGAATAGATGGTCTGCGTTATGGTGAGAACGAAGAGCAAGATAGCTGCAAACACCGAGATGACCGCCCAAGGATTACTGAAGTAATCATGATTAAGCCTCGCTCGCCATTGGTTGCATTGGTTGGTCCAGTGCTCGTTGACATCTTTGTAGATGCCTGAAACATAACTTTTATCGTAGTCTAACGTCACCTCCTTGCAAAGTTTGTTGAAGAGATTAGCTACTTGCTTGCCGTCGCCCAAACCGCTAAGGATGATCCCATGTTGCTGGAGCAACGCGACGTCGGCGGCGGTGTTGATGATGCAATCCATGAGAGCCGCGTAGGCCGTGACATGAAGACTGACATTCTTGGAGCACTGCTCGAATGCTATGAGGTTCCTGAGGAAGGTCTCGGTGTCGTCATCTACCTGAAGTAAGGGAATCCCCATCTCACCGTTCTGAAAGGTGATGTCCAAGAAGTTCGTGGCCTCCTTCTTCTTAAAATGTACTCCAGCCTCCATCAGCTGCGTCGCACTTGGAATCCATTTCAGCAGGGAAGTTGTGTGGTAATCTTCTCGAGAGCGACGTAAGTTGTTCCTGTTAGGCTTGTGGCAGAGGGATGTGGAAGGTTTACCGCCATCTCGTTTCTTGTATGGGTCAATGTAATAATGCCAAAGATGAAGTATATGATGAATTTTCTTAATGCCGATATTGGGGGGATTCTCAATCTTGCTTTTCACGAAATTGCTGACGAATTTGAGTGTCCAATTTTCTAGGGGATCAGCTGATTCAGGAAAAGCCGATTTGAACAGTGTCTGGAGGAGAAGGAAAGGAAGCTGGTTTTCCAGCATCAGCATGTCTCGCACGACCACTGGTAGAGTGTACTGTGTACTTGTAATTGGATTATGCACAGCTTCTGTTCCTTTCCCATCCGTTCGAAGCTGCTTTTCCGACATCGTCATCTGTCGCGCGGCCAAGGAATGCATCGGTCGCGCAGTGCTCGCGACCACGGAATGCATCGGTCGCGCAGTGCGGAACCATGACCGCGTACATCTAATTTGTTTATCTACTGTTTTTTCTTCTTCTTGTTTTTCCACATTCGAGTGTATGATCTCAATCACGAAACAGCAGTCAAGCAGCATCATCTGAACGAACTCATCACTAGTCATGTCCACTTTTTCTGAATAGGCCATACGTGCCTTGTCCTCTCTTTCCCTGATCTGCTCGATGTAGTCTTCCAGAGACATGCGGGGGTTTCGGCCCAGGAATTTCTTGAGGTAGTGCCATTTCAGATCTTCCATAGCTTTCAGGTGAATGTTGCCATGGTGGTAGGGGCCGAGCGACACCATCTTAGGCTCATATGCCTTCGGATCTGCCTCTTGAAAGATTCTAGGGACTTTGAAGATGGTCGGCCCATCGGTGCGTCAACCCTCCCATTTTGTTTCGTCTACCCTCTTCTTCAACGAGCTTAACCATTCCTCATTTGTAATTATCTCGCTCTTCTCCTCTGCATTACTCATCTTCAGCTTCTTTTTCTTTGTGCTCTTGCTTTCCTTCTCTGGTGCCTCCCCCAACCTTCAGGTACACTCCAAGGTTCCTGGAAGAAACGAAGCAAGGGATCCAGAGAAGTATTGCTTGCTTGACGAATGTGAGAACAAAATAGCCAACCTAATTTCTCCAGAGAAACGCTGACTTAATTCAAATTCGGTTCATGTCATGAACAGATATAAAAGGAATCGTCTAAATATATTCAGTAGCCCTTGTTCATAGATATGCGACGATGTAAATTATCGAATTTTGTTCCTCTAAACATTTCGATCATTTTGCAACGACTAAGACTTAACTATGTCGTACCGAAAGTATATATAGTTGAGAGCGCATGTCACTTTCGATAGTATTTAGACACCGTCCTTTTATCTCATGAAACATACGATCAAAATAAAAACAGATGGACGAAAAATAAAAGAGCACTTATAATAATAATTAAAAAATATATATATACTTAAAATCAAGAAAAATCATATGGATTAATAATTAAAAAATATGCTTAAGGATCGACGTAAGATTTACATGATTCAATATTCTCTATCCATATCTACGGAGAAAACAAAATTATTCATTATCCATGAATAATCACAATCATCATTGACTTAATCCCAACAAAAGCATTAATGTTGTTGCTCCATCAAGACATAAAGATATATGATATATACAATAGACAAACCCTAATTTATAGGGTTTTCTTCCTTTATATGAAATCTTTTTTTTCATATGAGGTATTTTTTTTCACATCTTTTCATACTATGATCCTGTATTATTCTAGGATACTCATGCTCTTATAAACAAAAAAATACTTACAACCCTAACACTCTATATATAGGATACAAAAATGTCACATACAATCGACTAATCAAATGAATATTGATGAAGAAGTGGAGCCGAACCTTATAAGATTTACACAATTTATTTGCGTTGTAGCTACTTAAGTGGAACCTTTCCTTATATATAATAATCCTCATTTGCTGCAACACCTATAGAACTTCTTCTTCTAAATTCATAATCTGCATCTCATCTATAATATCATGGCATTCAAACGTTAATTTAGAGGAATTATAGATGTTAGGTACTGCTTATTCCTAACTACTAACCAAGATTATATATCCCACATATATTCACTAAATTTTCCACAATGTATGGCAAATTTTAGAAACACAGCTAAGACGTTAAAAGAAAGAATTGCTTAGAAGATACAAAACTAAAGAAATCAATCTAGAGATAAATGGCGAGGAAAGAAGAAAACCTTGAAAGCTGACCGGAGAATAAGATATATTATACGAACGGGAGTGACGGATGTGAATCTATATATAGACTCTGTGATCAGCTCACATAGATAGTTATTTATTTTTGTTTACAATAAACACTCATAGATAGTCTGGTGATGGGAGGCCGTATGCAACAATCATCAAACAGCAATTAAAGTTGGTCAAATTAAACTATATATTCTCGATCATCGAGACTCACTTTCAATTGAATGTTGTTTAAAAAAATCGAATGAGAGTTTTCAATTTGAGGTCCCCATAATTGATTTTGAGACGATAAGATTAAAATATCAATCATTTTTAGTAGAATTTTAGATCTATTTATTTTTGTTTACAATAAAATAGTCTGGTGATGGGAGGTCGTAT